CAAACTCAGTTTCAGCTTTACAAATAACCGCTGTAAAAATTTACAGTTACAAATGCAACTGATCGATTTTTTACTTACGGTCGATTTTTTTAGCTCGTTAAAAACGAACATTATAAAACTACATCGTTTCACATGGTTTATTACGATTGTTCAGAAAAGATTGAAAAGGATTAAATAAATTAATATTTGCAGATTCTGTTAGAACTTTATAATTCGTACAATTTGCATGATTCGTTAAAGCATCAATTTTATTTAAAACAAATTTATTAATTTCATAAAAAACTTATTGCTTATATCTCTCAACTTTATTGGTATATATGTCGAATGTAAAACAAGCCTGTCAAACTCTTTGTTTCTCGTATTACACTGCATGAACGGAATGCTATCCTGAATCCTGAAGATAATTTCTGCGAATTATAAAGCGGGCTTACGCACTAAAGATTGTTATAAATACACAAAAATCAGAATGTATAGACTTAGAAGAACGAGTCGATTGAAAATTTTTTTATTATTTAATATAATGAGTTTATTATTTAATCAGATCCATGAAATTAACGTACGCAACCGATATACTTGTATATATTTGAATTATATACACAATTAAATTATCGCATACACAATTAAATTTATCACATGTGAAATTACGAATCTGTGATAAAAACCTAACGAGATGTACTAAAATTGATAGACAAGGGGGTAGGAGTCGTATGTGCATGTTACAATATCGATAACAAATACATTGTTTTATCAATTTTGAATTTGTATTGTATACGTGTTCATCTGAATTACATCCCAAATAAAGTTTAAACAAAAACAGTTGTCTATATATACCGTAACGCGCGCGCGCAAAACTTTTTATTCGACAAGATTCCTCAATCGCAATGTTAAACATTATGCAATTACGTGCTTATTACAAAATTTGCGTTAAGAAAAAAAATAATATCCACGCTTTCGTACGTTTATCATTAAGAAAAAAACTGCAGAGGAGGAAAAAAAGAAGAAGGGTAGGAGACTGAGTAGCCAATACTGCGATATGAATATCTGTGATGCGTATATTCCTTTCACACTGTCGTCGTAATCTGTTTAAGTACAGTTTCTACTATATCCGAAGTAAAGGATATATAGATTATTAAATAAAGATTTGTGTATATTCAATGTTTCTTTGTCGAAATACGAAAATACTCTTGCGTGTAAAAGATCGGTCGCTTTTAATCGAAATTGCTAAATTAGAAACGGCGAGAGATTTGCAGGAAATTACAACAAACTATGTATTACACGTAACTAAATGATTCATCTCAGAAAGGACTTTACTTTATTTCTAAAGTATCGATGAAGAATCTTCATCTTACGTATTTGTGTAGCAACGTCTCAACTAAGAATAATATCCTTTCTGAAACAATTGCATTAATTACATGTCGTCAGATCTTAAAAAAATACTCTTTTTGTTTCTAACTCTTGCTAGGTACTACTTTTTTTTTTAACTAGAAAAATTAAATTAGAGATAAGCTGGTAGTTTATCTTTCACTCGGAAGTGTCTCTACATCTTGAGAATGCTTGAATCAAAATCTCTATAAGCTGCAGTAAGTGAAGTCATGGATGGGAAGTCTCGATAAAGTTCTTTATTTACACCTGGGATCGTATCTTGGCGCGGTGATGAAAAAAATGATAACAGTTAGGTATTGGTAGGACTTGAGAAATGTCGTAATTCCGAATTCTAATCATTCTCACGTGATCATTCTACCAGGAATGTTAAAAATCCGTGAGCGAATCTCGCGTGTTAGATCTCGTTTTACCTCTAATAAATTATTATCGTATTGTCATCTTTGCTAAATACTGAGAGTCTCTCAAGACTTGGCTATCTTGAGCTGTGATAAAAGAGCGATTCGTCGGAATCTTCCTGAATTTCCACATACCGTTCGATCGGTATTCGTTAATAAAATGCCTTTGGTATCACCTTCGTAAGGCAAATTCGCAAACGGCACGTTGCTCCGCCGGGAAACGTGATCGGCATTTATCGCGGCAACTTTAAAATATCCTTTCAGTCCATACTTTTTCTTTTTCTTTTTTTTTTTATTGAGGTATTATGGATGTATCGTACGTCTCCGTAATAAAAAAAAGAGGATCACGTAAATCGTGAGATCACAACTGCTCAGATTCGAAGGCCGCGTTATCTATGCCGTTTATCATCTCGGCCTTCGGTGCGTTCTTCTGCGTGTCCATGATTCGAGGATTCGATGCCTTTAAATTGTAGTCTGTCATGTCATCATTCTTGTGGTTCATCGTGGCTTCGGGTTCCTTCTGTTCCTTCAACATGCGATCCTTACGATGCTCCGTGTACAGCCAACTGAAACAATTAAAAACACATTTATATGCAATCGCAATCAGCAGAAAGAACAATTTCGCTGAAGTATTTGAAAATTTGGCCAGATACAAATTTAAAAAAAAAATCTAGAGAAAAAACTGTTCAACATTTTTTTCACGCCAGCTAGCTGTTCAATAAATATTGAACAAAAAATTATTATTAATTAAACTAAAAACAGAAAATTTGAAAACTGAAAAAATTATGAAACAAGAAACAAAATAATTTTTTTTCTCACAATCACAAATAATATTTACAAGTAATATTTCCTTGAGAAAGAAAATTTTCTCTCAGATTATTAAAATAATCACGTGGGACGTTCAAATTGATTATTGGAACATCAAAAGTTTCTACAGTATTAATATCGTGCTCAAACGGCACCTGCCGAATAAACGTGACGATAAAATAATTTTCAGATCTGTATGTAGAAGACAAATTTTTAAATGCTGCAGCAAAACCGTTTCCCTTCCATAATATAATTGAGATTTCGTCACTCACAAAAATGCAAACACCGCGGGCATTGTCATGCATCCTCCGGCGATGAAGAACGTCCCCGGAAATGTATTCATGGTCGCCGCGTAAATGGCGCTGTACATTGGCCCGTAAACAAGTGGCATCAGGGACTCGCACACGCCAAATAGCGAGTTGACTTTACCTACGAAATTACGTAACGCGTCTTAGCTTCCGGCAGAGAATAAAAATTGCGTCGAATTTTCCTCGACATTTAGCCGAGCAGGAAGGCCTCGTTAGACTTTGTTCGTGATGGAAAAATTAGCAGCATAGTAGCAACATAGCACGTAAACGTAATTTGGTGTCCAAATTATCTGATTTATTCCATCGTTCCGCAAAACACATGGCGTATCGTAAGATAAAGACGAGCGCGAGTTCTCAAAAACACACTGAAGTATTGGTTTAATAGTATAATTCTTATATTTTAGCTGATAAGGATGCTCATTTATTTTATACGCTTCTCCGGCCTTCATGCGAAATTTATGTAGAAATATTATGTAGAATGGGGCCCACCTAATTTTACCATAATTTCAAAGTGCTTTTCTCATAAAACTTTAATCCTTGTCAGGGACAAGTGATATGTATAAAAAAACTTTTTCTACCTTTTAAATGCTTCCTTAACTAATATTTCTGCAAATCTAAAGTATATTATTTTCTAATAATATTTGAATTCAATAATTACTTTTAGTTGTAAAGAGAAAAAACTGGAGAAGGGCGATTTTACACTTTACGTTTTTTTAAATGACAAAATAAGAATTCCGAGGCAGAGAAAGAGGTAGATGTGAGGAGGATCATTTTTAATCTAGCATCGTCTTACCGAGCTCGTCCGTGGGCACGAGCTTGGAAGCTATCGATCGCATGGCGATGAAGGATGTGCCATTGACAATCTCCACGATAGCGGCTGAAACAAATAATTAATTTGTTATTAAATACACTCTCGCCGGGATCGAAATTGTGATATAAACACATATATATTTTATATACGTAGTTGTTACCCTGATGTTAGCCGTTTTAAAAAGACTGACCTACGTAGACCATCCAGGCGGACGTGGCGAACGCGTAAACGAAACTTGCTAAAATTTTACTCATGCAGCTCATGATACCCACGATCGCGTCGTCTATCTTGAGAATGTGACTGAAGATACCGACGGAAATCGCGGTCCCTGCGTATCAGAAGAAAAAAGTCTTTCAGTTTTATTCGTACCTTTTTTAATGTGCGCAGAGAGCGAAAACATTGGACGATCGCACGAATAACAATCCTGAGAGATCGGTGAAAGGAGCGAGCGCTATAAATCGGGATTCGTTAATTAAAGAAAAAAAAATGCGGAGAGAAGCCGCGGATCATTCACGCAAAATTTTCTGTGATCCACATAGACAAATAGAAAGTTTTTGTACAAATAGAAAGTCAAACGGGAAACGCCGTGCCGGCGGCACTCGAACACTCGGCGAGTTATGAAGCATCATGTTCGCGAAGCGATTACAAATTGTTCCGACAATTTTTACTCTCGCATGCACATTATTCGTGAGTTGCCTTTCTATTGCGCAATATTCTTAATATCTTCTATCTGCGTCGGCCGTCGCTCGCTGCGACAAGCGACTACATTTTCAAGGCAATTTCTGCCTTCCACAATCCGTTGGAATAAAAGCGACAGTCGGTGATTCCGCTTAGCAACGATAATCATTCTTATATAAGATACATCTCACGTTTGCTTTCATCAACTCACGTGAACGCAAAAAGATATGATTGAAACAGTGTAGTTACGCGAGAATAGAGCCAACGGCATACCTTCGATTTGCTGCGCGTTTGTCCGTATTTCTACGCGTGACGGAAAGTTTCCACGTTTCTATTTCAAACTTTAATGGCGGGACCAACCGAATGAGGGGAGATTCCGGTTACGCGCAAAAGATTTTGATGATCGCGTGAATCTCTGTTTTTCGCGTGTCGGCACAAACAGCGCGATGACGCGTTCTTCTTCATATGAGGCGTGATTTTCTTACCGATCAGATTAGTTACCATGCCAAACGTGGAGAACATGCTGAACGTCACCTCGTTCCAGTTGTACCGGTACCGCATGTAAAGATAGAGAACCGCCATTTCACCTGCGAAAGAAACAGATTTAATAATACCTCTCGCTGTTACACAATCGCTGTCTCTCTGTTCCGAAAGACCATAGGCTGTAGGAGATATCAATCAAAGTGTATGTAAAGAGCCTTCACCTAGCGCCTCAAATAATTCTGCGATCTACGAATACAGGGAATTCCAGCTAATAAAATTGTACGTTTAATATCCATTAAGTACTAACGACCGGAGCATAATTTTCGCGTTAACGTGTACAGGAATAGATTTTTATACGATACTTTATCTCTCTTAGAATATCGGTTCTTAGAACCTTCGCAATGAGCTATTATCTTACTTATCTCGGATTTTAGCGGAATATCAGAACTCATTAAACATCAAGTCTTATTGTGAATTTATGTTTAATGTTATTTATAATATTTAGGATTTTAATATTTTTAATTTGATCCAACTCAATTTTATCTAAAGAGGAGGATTGTTAAGATTACGAGTTTAATTTGTCAACCCTAACATATCGTTTACGCTTTGAATTGTAATTGCTGCTAACGCGCAAATTAACAATTTAATCTCTATCTCGGTACGTGAATAAAACTATCGGTTTCATCGAGTTTTCCTACGGTGACACGTCGTATTTTACGAGGTCGTTATCGTTAAATTTTATGCTGTTATATGACTATATGGAGATATTTTGCAGATTCACCCAAGCGCGACGTTTTCTATTCAATTACAAACGATTTTCACGATTACATCGGCTGCAATTAGACCGACAATTGCTTCCTGTAGTAATGCCAAGTTAACTGCGAAGGTCAAATGCAATGTTGGTATTACGTAAAATAATCCTCTTTTGCAAAATACCCAGAGGAAAAGTTTAATGGAAGGGTCAAAGATAAAGTCAGAGGTAACGTAACATATGAACATCCTTCTGCGAACAAAACATGCAAACATATAATTTGCACAGTTTTGCTAATATATTTAAAAATTCTACTTACCGATATGAAAATAATTTTCTTGGATTATCAAAATTATTGCGCAGAAAATTATTATTACGCTTAAAACGTGATGATACTGCAAAAATTTATCATATTCTAATCTATTTGAATTACTCTTTGATTGTCCGACAAAAATTATTTTCAACCAAATCAATTTTCATTGTTTCGATCAAATTTTTGTTTCGGCAAAAAAATTGGTTTTTTTTTTTTCCGTGCAAAAATGTGCAACCTGCCACGCGACATCGCGTCTGCGATGAAATCGTATGTTTATACGATTGGCCTAATACGTAATGTAAGAAATTGCGAACTCCGTAAGTTAAAATTCATCGCGCGTTTCTCATGAGTTCGATTCGCGACACTCTAACTCCGCGCGGGATTATAACGAAAATATTGCTACTATATAACGTAGACTCGGACTTTCACCAGACTTGTATCTCTGACGAGCGAAGATCTGAAATTGCATCGGAAATATATAGCCACGCTCGTTGGCACACGCGCCGATGGAGATTGCGTACGAGTAAACACGTTTATTTCGCCTCGCGCATGTATTGGTATTTATGTTCATATATCCAACTGGCTGGAAAAGATTGGAAATTTTGATATCGAACGATTATCATAAAAACACTTTACGGCGCTAATCTGGGAATAATTTGCCATTCACTCGTCCACGTACTCTAATGGATGAAAGACGTAAACTTTTCTTTACACTTTTCTTGCGCGCATTTCATTACCGCATTTGTCTGGAACTAACGTTGTTTCCGTAAAGTAAACGTGCAAAAACAAGTCCGCATAATTTCCCTCATTTGCATAAGCGAGATTTGTAGCTGCCATTCCTCGTTATCGGTGTTTAGTATCAATTTTCAAAAGGCTCTTAAATTTAAGGACATATAAATAATCAAACCTCAATCTCTCGCGCCTTGGAATATTTTCGTTTTTATATTTTATATTGGACTTAAAAAAATTATCTCCGATCTCCGATCTCTGACAGACGGAGAACTTGAGCTGAACGTGGATCTCGCTCGCTCGCTCGCGCCACAAAAATAAGCTCCGTCAGGAGCAAATTACACCATCCCCGCGAGACGTCACCGAGCGCTCGTGACGACAATGAGAGGGTCGAGAAAAGTCTTACAGGTCTCGAGAAGTGTGTCTTACAGGTATATCCGCGTTACAGCATTCGAAATCAGGAAGACGCCCATTACACGAAATTGTTATAAGCGTGACGACTGCCCGCGTCACTTAGCAGCTGGGGTAATACGTGCTAATGCGTACCCAGACATTGTAACGACGGTGGCTACCTATATAATTAAATTGTGACAAGGGCATCCGCGAAATGTGCTGGAATTGTGCGTCGCGTCGCCGTACAAGCGCGCGCACGATCGCATTAAAGTCGCGATAGCGCGCTGTAACAAATGCACGCTAATTGAAAAATTGAATGATTCGTGTGGTCGCGTGCTTGCACGGGCTACTGGCAGAAACTGGAGGCTTTATTGTTGCCGATACCAACGTCCGGCACTAACGCTACTAACGTTTTGATACTCCCGAGCGCGGCATGCGCGCGTATCGATATCGTAAATTTTTATTTACGAGCTCGCCGTACTCGCGTACCCGCGAGCGCGGGTTTGCCGCAAAAAGCCGCAAAGCCGGATTCCGCGTAACCGTCCGGAAACGACACGCGATCTTCGTGAAAAAGGTACCTTTGCCCCGTATCGGGGTTAACGGCTGTAACGACCGTTCACCAAACTCCACTCCGGTTTGTTCGAGCTTGCGGTCGTTGTAACGTGAATTTACGACGTTTAATGCGTTACAACGCGGAAAGAACCGTTTCTCTAAAAATTTCTAAAAATTTAGATCTGAAAATGATTTTATTAGGCTGTAAGAATAATTATGTAAGGCGTTCGAATTAATTGATTGGAATATTATTAGAAACTTTTTATAATGTTATTAGACGTCTTGCATTATTATTCTCATAGCTCGATAAAATTATTTTTATATTCTTTAATAGGATCGTTCGACCGATTCCGAGAAAATACTTAGTGGTTGGATATTTTATACGAATGCATTTATTGACATTTATTGACACTTTGAAATATGAAATACACGGGAATTGTACGCGTGTACCCCACGCGTGTGTCCGAGTAACGCTATACACACGTTCGCGCTCGTGTAATGTGCGCCTAGTTTTGCTATATCTTCTCTTACTTTCCCTTGGTACACGATATATATTCACATCGTCGGACGTAAGGAATTACCGATGGGAATGCGCACGGTTACTGCAACGCAAGTAGCGAGATTAATGAGAAAATTACGGCGAGTTTTTATCGTGACTATAGGCATACGAGAAATGATGGATAGATTTTGTTTACAAGCCAGCAGTTTTACCGATTTTTTTTTTTTTTTCTCTATTTCAACTCTCGTGCGAATTCATGCGAATTATTTGCACATTTAAATCATACGCATTGCGAGCGTCGTTTTCTTCGGTTTACATAATGCAACCAGATATCAATCGCGGTACTTCCGTTTAACAGAAGAATGATACGTTAATACGAAGTGATATACGAGCCGCAGACGTGTATAATTCTCGGAATAAAGTTTCACAACTTGTTTACGTATTTGTAAATGCACTTAGTAACTTTGAAATAAGAAATGAGTCGAAATGATTAATTATTGATTGCTGATAAAAGTGAAAGTGAAAAATATGAATAATGAAATTATGTTGACATTCTATTTTTATAATACCGACAGTACTGACAAAATTATATATTAAATGTTTCGAGATAAATCCTACTTTAAATTATTTGTAATTTAGAACTCAACATAACGAACAATTAATTACGGATACTGATTGTTATATAAGTTTCTTACTTACATGTTCTGTATTTTACAATATATATTTTACAATATATATTTTTGCATTTTTATCTCTTGCATTATGTGACATATAAAATTATAATTAGAAAATTATCTTGAATTTTGATGAGCGCTATTGATTCGCTAAAGCAAATTTAAGAGCAAAATTTATTCGCAATACGAAATACAGAACACCGCCAATAACATTATCAAGAAGCATGGTGTTATGTACAACTGTCAAATAATCTCGCCCAGCATATTTAATAATTCTTCTTCCTATCCCCGAACAATTTTGCATTGTCACATCGACAATTAACAATGTTGCCTAAAAGGCAACAAGAAAATACTTGTTTAAAAGGTCCCAATTTATTTGGACCATTTACTCACCGTAAAGGGGCCCGATGACGACCATCACAATGAGCATGAGCACGATGACCCTTTTCTGGCGATTGTTCGCCCCTTTCTTAAATGCTACACGAAATGTCTCCTCGATATGCCGCAACGAGAAGAAGTCCAGAACAAAGCGGCACACCGAGGTCCGTTTGCCCTCGTTCGGGAGGGACTTTTTCCGCGAGCGCTCCGCGAGCACCCTCGGCGGCTCCTTGATCACCACTAGGCCGTACACAAAGCTCATTACGTAACACACCATCGCGATAGAGAAGACACCATAGAAACCAAGCTTCGTGTACAGGATTCCCGATAGGGCCATGCCGATCGGCACGCCTAAGGACAGAAAGACGTTAGCCGCGCCGATCCTAAGCGTTCTCGATTCCACGGTCGTGATGTCCGCGATGTAGCTGAAGATACCCATGAACATGGTGAACCAGCCACCGGTTAACGCGGGCCACAGCGACTCCAGGACGACCGCCTCCATGGGCAGTTCGTAGAACCAGTAGGTACAGGCGATCAGGGTGACGCTACTGAAGAACTCGCCGATGATCGGCAGGAGCATGCAGGGCTTCCTCAGGCCGGTGCGATCGCTCCACGCGCCCATAAACAGGATCAGGATGGTCGGCAGGGCACTCTGCAGCGGCGTTTTCCAAGTCTGCATACGCGCCACCAGCTGCTGAACCGCAGTCTCCTCGGCCTCGTAGCCGGTGGTGTTTCTGGCCGACAGAGCCGAGCACACCTCGTCCGGATAGGCCAGGTTCACTCGGCACGCTTTCTCGAGGATGAGATTCTGCGTGGCTAGCTGGGAGAGTACGCTCGGTATCACGTAACACGCGACCATCGGCTCGACGGTGATGTTGCTGGTCAGAAAGGACCATTTCTGCCGGATGCTCATGGACTTCCAAGTGACGGCGCTGTCGGACTTGTCGGCTGCGGGGATCGCCTGCTTCTTCTCCGGGGTGAGCCCCGCGGGCGTACCGATCGTCGTCGTCGTGATCTCGGACATATTTCAAGGCAGACGCAGGATCGAGCGGCTACTTTTACTCAAGGGACGAGCGAAATCACGGTTTCCTTTGATTGTCCGGATGGACGTCGGCTCAGAATCATCAAGTCGCCTCGAGAGCGGAAAAAGCTCGTAGGCGGCCGGATTTCGGTTCAGGCCGTTTCGGTTCGGCGCGCGCCGGAGAGAAATCGCACGGTGGTCCCGCGAGTCCCGGCTAGTGCACCATCGTGCATTACGAGACACGGCGACGTTATCTGTCTCCTTCCTTCGCCGGTCACCACCAGCACCAGCGTGCCCCAGCGTACCACCTCTTCACCGGGCCGCGCTATCGCCGCTCGCTCGCCGCTCTTTTCTACGATCGGCCTCCTGCAGTGCGCGGCGAGCTGATCCGCCTTCGTGTACATCCACCTAGGCACTAAGCACACACGCGGTGGCCCCACGGGGCAACGTCGCCGACGTCGTTCGCGCTTAATCGGTTCCTCCACGGACGACACACGGCACGATACACACGCGGCTAATGCTCCACGAGCGCGATTACCGCACACTCCGACCGGAGTCGCTTCCGATTCCGCCCCGCGGGAGTTTTCGGGTCAAGGTCAGCTCCCGACGACGCGTTCGCGGTGCCCCCGAGGCCTCCGGGGGGGGGAGGGGGGGTTCTCCCGCCGCGCCCTTCGCCTCTCGTTCCTATTGCTCCTCGACGACCGCTCCACTGGTCCTGCTCGTTTCTCGATACGCGAAAAGCATGATGATCACGCCTTGGTGGTCACACGCGGGTGTCTTCCGCGATCGAGCGCAACGAGCCCCCCCGTCGCGTGTGTCGAATCTCTCCTCACACACGGTAACGTGCCTCCGTCGTTACAACGCCGCGTTACATAAAGTCTAATCCGACATTCGCAACGGTGACATGCTAATAAACGAGCGACGCGTGATGATTATCGTGTTCATCTTCCTACCCAGGGAGTATTTGTTCTTGCGTCGGCGGATGACGATCTTTTTCGGCTTCATATACCTCACGATTCGACGATACATCGTTCCTCCCACAGTGAACAATCTAGATTCCCAATGATCCAACTATGCGCTACTATTACGTCGAGGAGGGGGGGGGAAGGGGGAGGGGGAGTTATAGAAAGCGCTCGTCCCGTTGAGTAACGCGCTGAGATTCCCGAAGTTCACCGTGGTGATCTCCCACGGTGTGAACGTCCTCGCACCCGAACGATGTCAACGACTCGCAAGGAGACCACTCACGAAACCGTATACACGACTATTCCGTGCGATCTTCCGTTGCGTAAGTTTCCTTCACCGTGCGATCCATCCGAGTGATCGATTATGCACAGCCTTCGATCGTCCTTGACACGTTCCTCTCGTTGCGAAAATTCCTTCTGCGTCGCGTTACGACGGCAATTAAGTCAGCGTTATCCGAACGCGCGTCTCTTCTTCCATCCAGCATCCAGGTTGTCGCGCGAAGACAAGCATCTTCGATGCTCCGCCGCCCGTGATCTCGCTAATTACCAACCGGAAATGCGAGAGATTCCGCCTAGCCGTAGCCGGAAACGACGGTCGTCGACGATCGCGTATCCGATGTCGACGATATCGAACGGATAGCAACCGAGCGTAAACAGGCAGCGTCGTCGAATCGCTGCCGCGCGTAACTCGACGAGGCGCTGTTAAATGTGACAATTCGTTGATAAAGTAATCACTACTACGCACGGTCCCAGCGTTCTACAGTCGGAGCCTATTTTAGACAGGGCCGTCCACCTAAGTGCCATTATCTCACGACGGTGAATTCTGATGCTATTCGCGCGGCTCGGCGGGTCGCGCTCGTGACGGGCCATCGCGATGGTCATGCATCATCACGCGCGTCTTTCGTCGGTCGCGCGCGCGCGCGCGCGCGCGCGCAAAACTCGCGATTTTCGCCGTCGCCGATCCGCCACCGCCGGTCTCCCCGACGTCGAATTCCACGCTCGTCCGCGCGTTTTCTTTTTCGCTCGGACGAGAGACGTAAACGTCCCTCTTCCGTCCCTCATCCGATCGACCGGAACTCGCGTCTGAGTCCTCGAGCGCGTAGTCACGAAAATCCCCGGGGCTCGCAAAGCGCGACGTCGAACGCGAAATCGAACGAACGAAAAATCCGTCGCAAGGTCGCGTCCTGGCGACAAAAGACACCTAGAGGCGGCCCTGGCTCTTAAGTCTGACGTATGACGCCGTCAAGTGAGTAATGCTCGCAATTCCACAGCGATGCTTATAAAATATTCGATGCAGAGCTGTCACCGAGCACCT